TGTCTGTCTAGGAGGCTGTCTAGGTGTCTGTATAAGTAGTTGTCTAGGTGTCTGTCTAGGTGTCTGTCCAGGTGTCTGTCCAGGTGTCTGTCTAGGAGGCTGTCTAGGTATCTGTCTAGGTGGTTCTTCAAGCAAAGGAAATACCACATGCCACCTTTGTTGGGGTTTTTGTTGTTTGTTTGTTTGTAAATTTTAATTAAAATGGTTATCTGGGGGAAAAAAATGACATCTGGCCAGACACACTGGAAGAAGAGAGGAGAGGGAAGGAGGGGTTTGATGGGCACCTGCTTAGTGAGATGTCAAGAAGGAAACAGGCTCACTTTGCTCGTTAACCAATAGGCTCCCAGCGCTCGCTCGTGCTCTCTCTCTCTCTCTCTCTCTCTCTCTCTCTCCCTCCCTTCCTTCTTCTCTCCCTCACCCCCCCCCACTCCTTAGACAATCTTCCAGGCCACATGTGTCTTTGCTGTCAGGAAGGTATTTTGAGGTCCGTTATCTTCAACCCAAAGCTAGGCCTTTCTCAAGTCCATGTAGTCCACAAGCACAGGTAAAGCCGCTGTCAGCTGAGGCACACAGCTGTGCAGCTGAGGTGTACAGAGATCCCGTCCCCTCACCCACAGAACCAAAACAGTGCCCACCTCCACCTACCACGTGGCCAGCGAGAAGCTCAGGGACAGGACATGCAAACACACTTGAAAGTGTGAAAATGGGGGCAGGCGAGATGGCTCAGAGGTAGGGGGGCTTGCGGCCAAGGCTGATGTCCGGAGTTCCGTCTCCAGGACGGGCATGGTGGAAGGAGAGAGTCCTCTGACACAGAGGCAACAAACCTAAGACGAACAATTAATGAGAAGCACTTTCCAATGCTTACTGACAAACGGGCCGACCTCTTCAAATGTTCCTCCATGCTGCCTTCTTAATGTCCCACAGGACACCATCCTTACACTCTGATGGGAGAGGTAGTCGGAGCTCAGAGAGGCTGAGCGACTTGCATCGGGTCACACAGCTGGGCTGGGGTCCACCTTGGGCCTATGTGTTAAACCAGCGTCATATTCCCCATGACAGGACTGGTTGTTACTGCTTCCTGCTCTTTCATCAGCAAGACCCTAAAAGCAAGAGCCTTTGTTTTCTCATGCCAAGTTGCTATGGAGACACAATGTGCTTCTATCTCTAGAGACACACAAAGTATCAGGAGCCATGAGCCTGAGGGCAGGGGGAGGGAGAGTGTCTTTACGGAATGTTCAGTAATGCTACCGTAGAATTCTCACAATCGAATCCCCTCCCGCAGAGCGTATGGGTCAGTCCCTGACAGTAGTGCGTTCCACTCCAGGCCTGGCAGGACACTGGAGCAGCCACTCTGGCTCAGTCTACTTTGTGAGCTTGGATGAACCCTTTCTCCTCCCCTGACCTCAGTTTATCCATCTATAAAATGGGGATCTAGAAACAGACCCTAGGCAACCGTGGGTTTTCAGTATACACAGACCTCATCCACATAGCATGCCACGTCCCTGAAGATGGGAAATCTTGTCAAGGGGGGAGGGGTGGAATCATGTTGACTGAAACACAGCAGGGAGTGGTGAGGTCCATAGCAAGATGAAGTAAGTCGGAAGGGGAGGCTGAGGGAACCATATTACCCCCATGCAAACAGGAGCCCAGGGCTCATCATTCTGAACAAAAGCCAAACGTGTAGGTTTTTTTCTCCAAATCTGTGATTTTGAAAAAGAAAAAAAAAGTGGCTAAATATGTCTCCCCATGGGAATTCAACCCCTGCTTTTTACAAAGCATAAGGATTCACTCAGGGAAAGCGTCCCCTATTACAGAAAAGGAAAAAAAAAACAAAGACCAAAAAAAAAAAGCCAGGCCCTCCTGAGGCAGACCACGGCAACAGGTCTCGTATCACTCCTGAGCAAACTGTGAAATGGAAAAAAAGCACTTGGAGACGTAAGTCAGGGTGAGTCAGCTCGACAAAGGGCAAACGACACCCTGGAGTGGGTCATGCTTTCCCCCACACTCCGTCTCCCTGACGCTCTCAATCAGAAGTGTCAGCCCTTCGCTCTGGGTCCCCCGGCCGGGGTGGGTAATTGAATGTGAATTAATAACAACTTTAGGAACACCAGATGAAATCCCACCTCAGGGGAGGTTCGGGTAGGACTGCGGAGGACACAAATGTCCTTTTGTGACCATCTCAGTCCGTCCCCAATGTTTTATAAATGGGGAAACTGAGGCAGGGTGCTTTAGTCTGTCGGCTGGGAGTCCTGGGCTCTTTGCCAGACTCCAGGTTGCCCTCCCACCCACCCACCCACCCACCCACCCCCAAACACAGGCTGTTAAACCTTCAACAATGGTGTTGATCTGAAGACTGTTCTCCAGTGCCAAATGGCTGCTGAAGCAGGCAGGGGTGACCTCTGGGTGAGCTCTGACATCCTCTCTCACGGGATGGCAGGGGGTGAGGAGCATCCTGTCAGGCAGACAAGCTCCTGGCCAAGCTGCAAGGTCAGGACAAGGGACTTTCCTGACTTTGCTGGCTGACGTCCTGGCTGACACAAGGTCTCGATGTTGATTGACTTTCCCCTCCATCACCGGCCTTTCTGTGTGCTGCCTCTGAGAACTGGATAAACCCAACCCAAACTCCAGCCTTCCCTGCCTGTCCCATCTTGATTGAAACCTTTGTTGGATTCTAAGATCCAAAACCAGGGGACACACTCCCACAGAAACTCATGGACAGAACTCGTTGCAGTTAACATGAGGTTTAATAAAACTAGTGCACTAGGACTCTCTCAGGCAAGAGAGCCCCAAACAAAAGCTGGGAGCCATTTTATACATAGTTCACGAGGGGAGTCACAAGGGACCACAAGGGCTGACCTTCACAGGTCCGATCTCTAGGTGACTAAGATTATGACAATGAGTGTCTTCCGTTTGCCCAGGTTTATTACGTTAAGGGCCCAGCTTCCTGATTCCTAGAATGTATCTATGTGCTCTGGGCCCTCCTCACCCACAGGTGGGTTCTCTCCCCTGTGGTCTGAGGAATGTTAATCAACCTCTCCCTTCTTCCTCTGAAGGTTAATCTAGCAAGTGTCCTCTGACTAGGGAATGTGCCCCTCCCAGGATGTGTCCTGGGACAGTGGGGTTCTTTTAATCTTAAGTTCAAACCCGAGACCCGAAAGCCTTACACCTTCTCCTGCAAAATTCTGAAAAAAAAAAAAAACAAAAACAAAAAACAAAAAAAAACAACAACCTTGGGGAAGGGAACAAAGCAAAGAAAGAGATGAGAGGTGAAGAATCACCCCTCTCCTCTCTCCCCCACCTTCTCCCTTCCTCTGTACAACCAAAAAACTCCTCTCCCTCCTCCATGCTTCCAGTGCATGGAAGTTCCGCCTATAGTCAGGACCCTGCAAGGAAGCTGAGCAAAGCATTGCTAATGCACTTCCCAGAAACAAACCCGCTGAGTGCAACTCTCCCTGTCTAGAGCATCAAGGTGGTAAAACTCAGTACAGCCTACAGGACCCCGGCTGCTCCCCGCCACCTTCTTCCCTGGGACCTTAGAGGCTTCCTATAAATACGCTGTCAACCTGAGTCTCTCCAGCACTTTCAGCTTAAAAGCTCTCAAGGGAAATTACTTCTGGGGCTGAGGAGATGGTTCAGTGAGTCAGAGGGCTTGCTGCACAAACATGGGGACCTGAGTTCAAATCCCTACCACCTCCACCAAAAGCCTGGCATGGTGATATGTGGTGTGTGCTTGTAACCTCAGCTCCTTGGGGAGGGTGGTGGAGATGGGGATTGCTCTGAGCTCTGGCTCAGTAAGAGACTGTCTCTCAGGATCGTCAGAATAGAGACAAGGGCACTTCCAGTGTCTTCTGATGGCCTTGGTTTATGATCAGTGATGAACAGTCACTCCAGGTTCAGCATGATGATCAGTGATGAACAGTCACTCCAGGTCCAGCATGAGCCCATGGGGTTCAGAAGGAGCCAGAGAGGAATTCAGCATCCTTTGACCCTCACCTTGACCTCAGCAGGGATTCAAAATACCACTTTCTCTTTCCTTCCCCACTTCCTTCTTTACTTCCTCGCTCCTTCCTTCCCACTCTTCCCTTCTTCCTCTCCCCTCCCCCTCCCCCCTCCCCCCTCGACCTTCTTTCTCTCCCTTCCCCTTGTCCCCCTCCCTATGGCTTCCTCCACCTCCCATCTCCATTCCCATCTTCTGACATCCTTTCTGACACCCCTCTTTCTTCCCTCTTTCCTTCAGACCAAGAAATTCAAAGCCCCCGCCATCCGCACTGCCAGCCGCAAGCCCAGCAAGCGAGGCTCCACCCTCAGCCTGACTCGGACCAGCGGGGGCTCTTCTCCCCAGAGCAGCATGATGTCGGTGAACCCCAGCTCTGATGAGCCCACGGGCAGCAAAGACATCGAAGACAACGAGTCATCCTCTACTAAGCCAGAAGAGGAAATCCTCCACTTCAGTAAGTCCCACTGAAGAGCCCACCGAGGTCTGTCTTTCCATTCCTAGGTCCTTGAGCCCCTCCCGACCCACCTCTGATACCTTTCAGCAGAGATGCAGCTCCATCACCCGGCTGTTTCAAAGCCTTTGGGTCCCTTCCCTTGACTCCACTCCCCACACCCACCGCCCCCCAAAACACTGAAAATATCCTCCCCCCCATAAGTTGTGTCACTAAGGGCCATTCCCCACAGGGATGCAGCTGTGATCACCATTTAACCCCATAACACCTTAAAAACTATCGTATTTACCTCAATTTCTATAAAGTTTTAGCCTTTCCACACTTCACAAAGATAGAAATTATGATGGAGATAGATTATCTTGTTTTTTTCTGCCTTCTTCAAATTCAGTACCTGATTTCCACACTGATTTACAGACATGTCATTTTTGCTGGTTTTGGGCGTTGGGGTGGGGTGGAGAGAGGGAGGTATGTTTATATAGCCCAAGATGTCCTGTGACTCACAATCCTCCTGCCTCAGTCTCCCAAAGGCTAGACTTAAAGACATATGTTTGCTGCCACCTCCAGCTTGGGAAGCATCATCCATTTTAACCGTGCATGGTTAGATGTATAAGCCAACAATTTTATGAAGTTGACAGAGTCCGTACCTGTGTATCTGTTGTCCCAGTTCAACTTTAAAATACTCTCATCGAACCAGCAGAAGACACGGCCCATTTTTGATCCTCTCCCTCCCAAGTCCAAACCTGAAAGGCTGAAGATCTACATGTTTGCACAGAAGTGTATGCTTTCTCATATCAGCCATCTTTATATCAGTCCACAAGTCAATCTTAGACTTCCTAAGAATCTCCTGAAAGCTTTTAAGAAAGAAATCTAAAACCATGAATACTGTTCAAGACTCTATTCCACAAATCACGGCAAATATTCATTCTCAGAATTCCCTGGATTGGGCAAATATAATAAGATGCATAGCAGGGCCTCTGTAGGCAAGCACAAGGACCCAAGTTCAAATCCCCAGAACCACAAAAAAAGCCAGATGTGGAACTCAAGTGTCCATAATCCCAGCATTCCCACAGAGAGATGGGAGGCCAAGGCAAGAATTCCCAGGGACTTATGAGCAGTTGAGCCTCATATACACAGTAGAAAAAAACGGCAGAGCTCCTGTCACAAGGTGAAGATGAAGTCTGACAGCTGAGCTGGGGCTGGCCCAGGAAGAACTGGCAAGGACTGGGTGCTGTTTACATTCAAAGAGGTCAGAGTGGACCTAGAGTCTGGATTGAGCCAGGGTTCTCAGAACCAAAAGCAAGCAAAACTCCAGAAGTGTAAGGAGGAGTCAGGACAAGTCAATAGGGGCCCAAGGAGGAGTCAGGACAAGTCAATGGGGGCCCAAGGAGGAGTCAGGACAAGTCAGTG